AACTTACGTTGTTTAACTTACTCTCCCCCCCTACCCCCCCCCCCTACCCCCCCCCCCCCCACACACACAACATTCTGCCCAAACCAAACGAGGAAAAGGAAAATCTGCTACTTTTCTTTTCCTTTCCTCAATTTCCAAGCAGAGGGCTGGCGACCATATACCAGCGCCTTATGTTTATGGCATTATATGTCTTTGCTAGAAGGTAAAGATCCTATATATTACATGAAGCTGAAATGCAAATAATGCAGTAATAAAAAGAAAGGTGAAGAGACACTATTCTCTTCCTTATGGAGTCGAGATGAAACTTCTAAATTAGCACTAAAAGAAGAACATAATTGAGCAAAACAGTAGTAATCAACTTAATAATAACAAGCTTAATTCCTCATAGTACACTGCCAGAAAAGGAACATCAAGTAAAAAACACATATCCACTTAATTAACATACAACATTGAAGAGTCTCAGCTCATTCAGCAAGTAATATAATATGGTATACATACTTAAGTTGATCTTCACTTCCAAGAATCTTCAAGCTTAATAGTAGTCTTCTCTTGTAGTTAAGATGTAGAGCACAAAACATAGAAGACCTTCAACCATATTAGCTGCTCACGAAAAGAAATACCTTAGTATCTATCATTAGTAAAATTGGAAAAATATTAAGGAAATTGTTTTCCATAAAAAAGTCATTGTTCTGATGTTTGGTATGATCACTTATGAGGGAAAGTCATTTTCCTTATAATTACCTTAACCTTTTTAGCTTCATATTATTAGGTTCAACTAATACTTAGACAATAGTATTAATCTCTACTCTAGTACAGATCAATAGTTTTAGTGTAACACTCTCCGATTTGCTAATATTATTACTAATTTTTATTATATATTTTTACAAAAAATATTCTCTACTCACCAATCAAACACCAGAAAATATTTTTTAATATTTTATATTTTCACGACACACCCTCAACGTCCCAACATGTACCACCTTTGATATTTGCAGTCTATTTCCTCTTTCAAGAAAGTATATTCTTTGTCCTAAATTTCACCATTTTTTTTCTTTTTCTAAAAAAGATTTTGATGAAGTGGTTAATAAGGAAGGAGTGAATGTACTCACACTAGTTGAAGAGATGGTTGGTCTTGTCTAGTGTAATGGTTGTTGGTTTGCAAACCATTAACTTGTAAATAGTTTCGAGTATCAAATTGCTGAGGTGGAGGCACAAGCTCATAGCTTGAACTCCCTGGCATCAAGTTTATCTGCTGCTGCTGCTGGGCTCTCTCAGTTTCAGCAATCTGTTTAATTTAATTACTTAAAAAATAACAACTGACTTTCTGCAGAATAAGTTACTGTACCTAATTAAGGACTAGTAATTAGTAAGTTATAGAGAAAGAAAGAGACCTTTGCTCTCAGGTACTGATTGTTGTTGTGTAAATCAATTTCCTGCTGTCCATTAACTTATGTTAAAATTTTGGCATGAAAATAGAAAGCAGTACTATGACCAAAAAAGACTAACTTGAAATTATAACTAGAAGAAAGATTGTATGACTTACCCTCTTCTGCATATATTCAATTTCAGCAAACAGCAGCTCATTCTGTAATTTGAGAATGGAATGTTAGAAAATAGTACCATTACAGTAAATTGAAAATAGAACAACAGTGTTGTGAAAATCAGAACAAATTGTCATTAAACAAAATTGAAAATTTCATCAGAAAATAGTGATGTTAAGCACCTTTTTGGATCTGATTTTGCTAATCCCTTTTTCAATTTTTTGTTCCAGATTCTTCAGATCTCTGAGGCTCAGTGCAGCCAGTGATTCTCCCAGCATGTTCCTGAAGCAATGCAATTAAGGTAAGGAGTACTATTAGCAACAAAGAACACAATTAGACTAATACAACACATGGGATTGGAAAAAGAAAAGAGAAAAAAAAACACTAAAACTTCACCTGTTCTGATTCTGCAGATTTCCAATTTGTGCGCGCAGTTTGGAGGCTTCTTGCTGATAATACTGGGATTGATTGAACAACATGTTTACAGTAATAACAAAAGCTTATGAAGCTATATATTATGAATCCATCTAGCTTGCACCTTGTAATGTATGACACATTGCTTAGATAAGTCTTATGCATGTGTAAAAGAAGGCCTTTAATAGTAGTGATTTCTTCAATTACTAAAGCAATTTCAGTGTCATACACTAAAAATTTTTACCCTGACCAATAGCATTGAGCAATCATAATCTTTTCCTAAATTCTTAGAAATCTACTCAATCTCCAATTTAAGCTTTTAACTTACAATGATCCAAGTGTTATTATTAGTAGCTACACTAATTCTCTCTAAATCAAATAGATAAACCAATACTAATCCAGTAGGTAGCTACCTTGGGTATGACTTTACAACAGTTGATTCGCTAAAGTGGACAACATTAGAGGAGAGGTGTCATTTTGTTTCTAAATTAATTACTCCTTAATAAAAAGCATTTATCGTTATACATATGTTATGGTATATTTAAAACTACAAGCTCCAATCATTTTCTTTTGGTTACTAAAACACCTTTTATTACCAAATTAGAAGTTACAGCTCAAAGAAGGAAGAAGGAAAGATACACATTGGAATGCCCCAACATGTAGATCTACAACTGCTTATAAAATCCAGAACAACATTTCTAACTAGGAAAGAAGTTCGGTTTCAGATATTTTATAGCCATACAAATATTATGAGATATTTAAAATTACAAGTTTCAAAACTTTGTTTTACTAAATTTTGTGTCAAATCAAACTACGACAAACAAAGTGCAGTGGAGGGAATATATTAAGAACGAGATTTTATTATTCACTGGAATAAGTTCAGTTTGTAAGTAGGAAAAATAACCAAACAGTAATCTACTGCTTTTAAATGTTATATATTTAAAAAAATGAAGAGACAGGTCCTTCTTTTTTTGCATTATCTTGATCTTTTCCAACATATGATAGGAGAAACCACCCATTCTGATGACCAAAATTTGTCATAACAGTATAGGCCAGTGTTTTAAAAGGTGTGGGCGTAAGGCGAGGCGTTTTACATATTCCTCAATGAGGCGTAAGCCCCGAGGCATGGGGCGTAAGCCCCATAGGTATTTAATTTTTAATACTTTATACAATAATATAATTACAGTAAATATTTATAAACAGGTAAAATCGCATAAAAATTGAAGAAAACTATAAATATGTGTGTGTATATATATATATATGTGTGTGTGTGTGTGTATGTGTATGTGTGTGCGCGCGTGCGCGCTCCATCCCCACAAAAAAACTAATCAAGACAATCTATTATACGCTACTTATAAGCACAAGTAACTTGAGTCTAAAAGAATAAAATTTTCTACATGGAGGAACAAAAAGGATGACTAACCTGCAATTTGAACTTTCAACTTGTTGCTATGAAGGAGAATGGAGTTTTCTTTGTATTAGTAAAAAAAAATTGAATATTTGTTGCTTTTGGGAGATATTAGCAGACTAACGGACAAGATAAATAATTGAAAAAGACCATGAATTAGAGCTTCAATTAATAAAAAAGGTCTTGTCTTTTAAATTTAATACATTTCAGTTCCTTTTTAAAACTTTTGAGTAATTACCAAGCTGACTTTCGAGAATTCGAATAGTATATCAAGAAATTATTCAACAAATTTTGTTTTAATTTGAAAAAGTCTCTGGGCTTACGCCTCACTGAAAAAAAAGCGCCTCAAACGCCCGGCGTACGCCCCGAATGCCCGGACATACGCCCCGAATTGCTGGGCATACGCCTCTTGAGACTTTCGCCCCACACCATCGCCTCAGGGCGTTTTTGGTGCCCCTCAAAGCCTTTTAACGCGCCGGGGCTCGCCCCGTAAACGACTTTTAAAACACTGGTATAGGCATGAAGTTTACCCTAATTTACTTTGTTGTAAGAGATGAGGGAGGAATGCGTGAAATTATTTACTATATACCTGAGCATTGGCCTCGGAAATTGAACCAGTGTTTGAGGAATCTGAACAAGCTTTCTTGTACCTCTCAATTGTTGCCTTCACACTGCAGCATTGAAATGTTAGAATAGTTTTCATTTCAATCATATAAACTATCGACAGACGAAATCAGAAATATCCAAGCTATACAACTAGAAAGATGACCATTAAGACATTCACAAGTTTCACTATATTCTTATGGCCGTCAAAATCAAGATTTAAGAGAGGACAGCAAAAAGAACCTTTATACAATTCATACTATTATTTGTACCCTCAATTCCATTCTTCATACAGCGGTATCCTAGCTATAAGCCTATTCTCTTTAAACACACTTCAAGAGTTGATTCGTATTGCAAAGAAACACAAATTTAAGAACAAGTATATTCTCCAGCTCCACACGAAAGAAGACTTGCTTGCACAATTTCATTTACTAGGTGAGGATATAAATTTGTATTGCTTAGCTATTCAAAAGAAGGAAAAAAGGGCATTTATTTTGAGGGAGTTTCTAGATAAGGGCTGCACTGTGCTATACTGCTATTTCACCCCAATTTGGCTATCTTTTTTTTTGGTTTAGCCATATCCGTACTGACCTGACTAATTCGAACCTGGGCTCTGTGTGCCCACTCAGTAGCGAAGCCACATGTTCATAAGGGTGGTCAATTCGAAAAATTACATTTTTAGAGGTATATAACACGTATTAACACCCCATTGAACATCCTTTGTCGAGAATTTTTTTCACTTCTTTTAAATTTGAACACCCTCGAAGAAATTCCTAACTTCGCCACTGTGCCCACTAAGGGGTAAAACACTCCTTACCAAGAAGCTCTAATGCAAGACTTTCGGTTAAGGGTGAAGTGATCCCAAGCATCCCACCACACCCTTTGCGAGTTGAATTTGGCTATTAACAACAAACATCTCAAGAAAACACACCTTCCAGAGCAGATAAAGCAGTTGTCAAATATTTGTTCTAACGCCAGCTAAATCTGGATTCTAAAGGCAGAAATCGAAGGGGAAAAAGAGAGGAAAGAGATAAAGAACTTAGCACATTTGCACAAAGCAACGGAAATTTTTTCCGACGAAATAGAAAGACTGACTCCTTGTTTGTACTTCGGATGCTTGGGAAGAGACGAGAAAGGAATTGAAAATGGCAACATTATGCATTTCCTTGTTTGGTTTGACCAAGAAAAAAGAAAGGAAATTGGTGGGGAAAAAAGTAATTTTTCTCTCCATTGAGGGAAGAAAGAGGATGAAAAGATAATGTGATACGTATTCATAGTGCAAATTTACTTTTATTTCTTTTTGAAGTTCAAACAGAACAAAAACAATACTATATCATTTATTCGCTTCATAAGTTTTAGTGATTTTGCTTTATATTTCCTTCAATAATATATCCAAACAAAGAATAAATCAATCAACTTCACAACTTTGAAAACCGATACTGATATCAAAAATTGCGCACATATATGTAACATATACCGTGTTGCGAATGAAATTTCAAATTGCAACTTAGTCTTCACTTTGCTTAAGTTTCTTTATTTTCCTTTTTCTTGGGGTCTTAAAGTTACTCTCCGTCCCGTTTTATGTGAAGGTGTTACTATTGAGAGTCAAATAATGTTCACTTTGATTAGGATTTCAAGTTCTTCGTGAATGTTTGAATTATTTCTTGTGTTGAATTGTAACTTTTGATGTTTTTTTCAAATATATTTATTTTATCTTTAAGAACTTACAAAAATTATGCTTGAATTCATATCGAGAATCAAGTAGTTGACCATCGTACTCTGAACTCCTTCACATAAATTGATACAAGGAGTAATAAAGTTTAAACTACACAAAGTCATGTTTTCCCAAAGTTGTTGTACAGAAGTTCGTTAGAAATTAATTTTGTGTGAACCATAACTTAATTATATATCTTCTTTATGGATTATCGATATATAATCTAAGGTTTGAGAGAGGTTTCAACTTTAAGATCTCCTTAGACACGAGTGCTTGTTCCCTTCGAGCAAACACTAGAAACAGCGTCTTAACCACTTTCCTTTTGGTCAAAAGGTAAAGAAAATCTAGATACTTTCTTATTTAATAAATCTTAATTCTTGCTAATTTAGGCCAACACGCAAAGCTGGAAAAAAAAAAACTAAAACAAAGCAAAGTGTTGCTTTGAGTCAGACCCCATCTGTCCACTCAAATATGACATTGATATAAAATTTTCTAGTACTATAGACCTAAGACTGAAAGAAATGAACCAACACACTGAAGGAATGACTCCCATTTCCTAGCCTGCTACTACCTTAATTTCGTCGAGCTACTGATTGGCTGCTCTCTGCCAAGCTGGCACAATTTCCCACAATATGATTGGTCCACTGTTTCCACGGTCGTGATTTGTGCCACGTCATAAGTACCAGTTATTCCTTGGGTAATACCCATCCACTCTAGGTTTTTACCCACCTAGGGTTTTGTTTCAAGAACCCCAAAAGGAATAATGGCATTAACTTAACAATCTATACAACTTTTTTTAAACTGTTGTAAGGTAAAGTGAATAGTATGATCCAGTCTTGTCTGTCTCATGATCTGATCTGATCACATCAGAACCGTCCATTTTCAGCAGCCAATACCATGCAAGAAAGAAAGCCAGAGAGTTCAGAACTCTCTTATTGGTTGAGAATAAAAATTGTACGGATCTATATGTCTCATCTCTTTCTTGACAACACACCCTACAACTCAAAACTCCCTTTAAAAATAAAATAAAATAATTCTCATGTCTTACGCAAATATATCTATGCACAAGATCCTCTTCAAGTATTAGATAACCTAGTTAAGTCTACCCTAGTTTAAGTAATTTTCATTGGTTTAGAACTTCTCTTTCTTACACTTCTGTTTCTTTGCTGTTTAAGTTCCAACAGCTTCAGAACCTTTGTAAAAGCATTAAGCTGAGATATCTCAAAGAAAAAAATATAGGGGTAGTCATGTTTTCTTTTTTTCAGTACTGGAGGTAGAAATTAAGAGAAAGCTCAGAGAAGGAAAAAAACCATTCCCTCATTACTATAATATGTCTTTTCTCAGCAGATTTGTCAACAAGTGTAAAATCTTGTATGACGTGACCAAAGATTCTTGTAACTGAGACAAAACTTACACCAACCACCCAACCCCAACAAATTTTGCTTCTAAAACTCTAAAGCTAGAGTGTAGATGACCCCATTTCCTAAACGGTGTAAAACATTTCAAAAAATAGGAAATGAAGCAACAAAATAAAAAGAGGGGAGAGAGACACTGAGAAGAATGTCAACTTTTTTCTATAATTGAGCTTTGAACTCTGATTGGTTATTTTCCACAATTTATTTCAAGAAAAGATCGCTTGAGTGTGTAAGCAAGGCAAATTTTTTGAGATTTGACAAAAAAAATAGCCTTAATATTCCTAGCAAAAGTAAACCCTAATTAGGGCAAGTTTGACTCTGCCAATAGAAATAAAGCTCAAGACAAAAAACAGTACTGCTGTGCTATTAGTGCAGTACAAAACCCTAATCTTTATTTTGATTGGTTGTGAAAGAACATATGTCATGTTTTTTGTAAAAAAAAACTATACTACAAGATCTAAAACCCATATCAATCTAATTGGTAGTGTTTAAACTAGGGAACAAATGGACGAATTAGAACTTCAGCTTTCTTGCTTGATCTTTGAGAGAGAGAAAGAGGAGAGAGAGACAGAGAAAACTTAGCAGCAATGGAGGAAGAAAGTAGTATGCTGATCTCAGAGTCTGATAGAGTACTTCTTCCTAAATTTCTACTCTTTCTTACAACAAACAGATCTATATATCTACAAGTCTATTAACGAAAATGGGATCATTAAAAATAGAAACTACCCCCAAAATAGAGCAAATTGAAGGAAACAAACAAAACCATTAACGAAAAAAAGGAAAGGAAAGTCATTCTTTGATAGAAAGAAAAACTCAAAGTCTAAAAAACTTCACAACAATATAGTAATTGTTAGTTCTTTGGAAGTTCAGATCTTCCTAAGCAAACACATAGCAAATCTCCAAAACAAAAAACAACAAATAACTAGTTTCCTTTTAAAAAAACAAAATTGCAAAGAAATGAGAAATGAGGAAGAAAAGGGAGGACCTTTCAAAGATGAAAACTTGGCATCAAAAGATGTATAAAGATTAAAACTTTCAATTTTTTCTTATAAATTTCAAGACTTGTATATTAATATAAGTACCTGTTGTTGGCATACTCATAGAGTCTGCCTCTGCTTGAGAAGACAATCAAAGCAACCTCAGCATCACAGAGCACAGATAATTCATAGGCCTTTTTGAGCAAACCATTGCGTCTCTTACAGAAAGTGACTTGACGATTTGTTGTGTTTTCGATCCGTTTGATCTCAATCTTTCCTCTTCCTAGTTTCCTTTGTGGAGAGATCTCTCTTGTTAGATCACTTTGGAATTCCATACCTTCACCTACATATCAGAACATATGTCAGAAAATTTGATCAAGATTTTAAAAAAAAGGTAGCTAAAGAATTTGGAGATCACACTTTCCTAATACTGGTTAGAATGAATTAAAATCCGAACCCCATATTTGCAGTTACATTCAATAAATGGTTTAAATTTGATAGAAAATGCAAGGGAATTAAGTGAGGTAATTTTGGACAAGGTTTATGAATATTTTCAGGTGATGACTAACCTGGTAAGGAAAGAAAGGGTTGGAAGATGAAAATAGAGAGTGCAGAAAGTTTTTAGTTCTTCCTTGCAAATTAATCTGCAGAGGATAGATAGATGCAGAAAATGGAAGAGAGTCTGCAATAAGGAATAGGTATTTATAAAGTAAAGACTGCTTTCTTTAATTTGTTATGTTACTATTAGCTAACTAGGATTTTCTTTGTCTCTGTTTATTCCTATGCTAATTTACATTAAACTCTGACAATTTTCTTTTATATTTCTCCTTTTTCTGTTTGTTGGCTAGTGTTGAACAAGCATGGATATATGGTTAAATAGGGAATCCTTCTCATGAGATGATGATCAGTCTTTCTTGGCCATTCATTTTAATTTCTTTATCTCCTGTTTAACTTCTAATTATGGTCATTAGTTTGTAAGCATTTTTCTTTGATTCATCAGACCATTTTGGGTGGAATAAGAGAGGGTGGGATGGGGGTGGGGAGGGGGTGGGGGAGGAAGTGGACAGAGTAGAAAATGACCTCTGAAAGTGACACTGATGTTTGATGGGTGAAGAGAACATTGGACTAGGTTACACTCAAGCTTAAATGCTTCTCAAAATTTGGATTAGACCTTTTAAAGAACCTCTATAAGAAAGATTTGGACCAAATGATAGCCAAAATATTTTCCAAATCTTTTAGTCTTACATTTACATATGTGAACTCCTCCTCTCATTCCATAACAACCTTCCTTACCAACTTGGAATCCCTGCCTTTACCATCCTCTCCCTAGAGGCGGATTAAAAGTTTAAATTTAATGGATTCGACTTTTAAAGTTTGTACCACTAAACTTACAGTACCTTTGAAATATCATGGGCAGTGGCGAAGCCACATGGTCACAAGGGAGGTCAGTTGACCACCTTTCGTCGAAAAATTGTACTGTGTATATAGGTAAAATAATGTTTTAGAGGTATATAACACATATTGAACACCCTTTGTCAGGAATTTTTTTTCACTTCTTTCAAATTTGAATACCCTTGGAAACATTTCTAGCCTCGCCACTGATCATTGGATCAGGATCTAATATTTGTTTTAAAAAATTAATATTTCCTGTTTATATCCGCTTATGTTCTTTGTCAAAAATACCGGGTTCAATTGAACCGGCAGCCCCCTCTCTCCCTACCTTCACTACTTTTCTTCTCTCAACTTTCCTACCCCTAAATGTACACAACTTTAACTTTGTGATCATTTGTTTTTTTCTCCCACATAAAACTCAGACTCTAACTAGATCAGTGAAGGGAAAAAAGAAAAGAAAAAAACTAGATTAGTGAAACTAGCTATGACAAAAGAGAAGGTGACTGCCATGTGACATCCAGTGCACTAGTTTCTTTTCTATTGAAACTCTTCTATGAACAACCACTTATCTATCAAGTTACCATCATGCCAAAAAGTTACTTGTTTCTTTGGGAAGAAGGCCATAAATTTGTCTATATGGCCTGTTGTGCTCAATGACAAATACAACAAATTTACTGTCCTCTTTTCCATCTTTCCATTTTCTTGTCTACTTTTTTTTGGTGATCATGATTTCTTCATCCAATTTCACTCGCATCTCAGTTTTCCACTACTTAGCCTTTGACCTTACCCTTATGATATGATTCGACATTACAATGTGCTTAGTCTTTTGCCCTAGACATTGGCCTAAATTCTTGTTCTTTTGCTCTTATTAATGCTTATTTTCATGTAGGAATTGTCATTCTTCAATGCCAACCATGAGACATGTTTAACATTGCATTGACAATACATTGTTTGGCAAGAAAATACATTAGTTTCCCTTGACCACTAAAGCCACAAGATCCACTTATATGTGCATATTGAAAGGGGAAAAAACTAGGAAGTGTATATTTGAAAAATGACTATTCCGTCAAGAAGAAAACTTACCAACTATTGGTACGATATCTTGATTAAAATTGGTGCAAGGATGATTTTATTTTTTGTGCTTAATTAAACTAAAAAATACATCGGTGGAACCCTAGAAATAACTACAGCCACAGAGTTGGAAATGAATGATATTTACAAAGGTGCCGTAACATTCGATGTGTCATGTCTACTTCTTAAATCATGTACACACTAAGGTACAGCTTCCACCTAGAAATAAAAGTGTGGGTCGTCATTGAATAGTAATTAAAAACCTCTTCAATGCTTGCAAACAGATTTTCATCCATCCTTAATTTAAGAGGTCATAAAATTTGCTTCTCTGCTACATTAACATAAAGTACATATGATAGGGACGTACAACAATCTTGTCAATTTTCTCCAAATCCTGAGGGACTAAGCCCATTTGTTTTTAGCAAGATAAGATCCGATGTACACGAGGTAATAATACTATTAGCCCGCACAGAAACTATTTATATTTGGTAGCCCGCAAAAGGAAAATTCGCTCCAAATTGGAAGGGTCGGTACATTATAAGAAAACAGTTACCAAAAGGGGCATTGTACTTGGGAGACATTGAAGGAAATGACCCCGAAATAACTGTCAATGCGGACGCGGTCAAAAGGTATTATGTTAACCCCTTTGCGGTACTAATATTCTCCGATTGAGATGACGAATGCTTTCATTCTCGCTACCCAAACACTGTCAACCCTTTGCAAACCCTTTTGAGCCAGTTACCTTTCTTTGATTACCCTCTTTGGAACACGAAAATGCTGTTTAAAAAAGTAGAAAAATAAAAGAAAATCCAAAAAAAAACAGACAAAGTTCCTTGAACTACGTTCGTCTTGATTCCGAAAGGATACGTAGGCAGCCTCTCTCTGGGGTTCAGTCACACCAAAGCAAAAATCCACATTTCCCCAACGTTGAAACTGGGGCAGAAGTCACAACGATCCGAAAATACTTTTTGCTTGAAAGTTTCCAAAGTTGTAATTCAGTCCAAATTCTTTTACCCTAAATCATGTTCAAGTCCTTCCGATCAATCGTTAGTGATATCCAAAATGGGAGGATATGTTTACCTGGATCTGATGCATAAAAATGAGAGAAATAAAATGAGAGAGTCTTATTGGTGAAAACCTGCACGGCACCATAAGGCGATGGTAAGTAGAGAAATTGAGAATGAGAGAGTCTTGTTAGTGAAAACTTGCAAAGAGAACTATAAGGCGACTATGAGAAGAGAAATGAGAGAGGTCAGTTGGTGAAAACCCCCAAAAAGGCGCCATTGATCGAGAAGAGGAACCCTTACAACCAGTGGTATTGATAGAGTCCTGGCCAGGTTTCTCGGTTTTGAGGTCTGGGTTATGATGGGTTTATGAGAGTTGGATGGTTTATACAGATCGGGCATCCAGTCCAAGAAGCATGTCATGTCCATTAAAGTCTGCATGCACTCCAGATAAGTCCTTCCTTCCTTTCCCCGAAAGGGACACCTCTCGTTTAAATTCATTATCCTGTCCGTTGTTTACTTTTCTTTGAATCCCTTTCGGTCTAATTCTGCTCTGAAACTAATTCAAAGAAAAGATGGCAAGATCAGTTTACAGGGTTTTGTTTGACAAAAGCCAATGTTCAAGAAAGGACCCTAGCCTCAGCAGGTGCATCAAGTCAACCTCGACTGGCCATGATGGTCGATGCTTCGGAGTCAAAAACTCTTGAAAAGAAAGGAAATCAAAGTCAAATGCCCATAAAGGCAAAATAAGGTGGAAAAAGGCCAAGTCCCACACGGGTAATCATCATGTGAAGTTTGGGGAAAATTCAAGACCCCCAGGGTTTAGAAATGAAACCGATTCCCAAAGAGCAAGCAAGCAATGGAGGTCTTTATTGAAAGAGCAGGGCCAAGATCAAGTAATAAAAACAATCAAGGCCACAAAACCAACCACCGTTTCAAACTAACAAATTATGTTTTGTTTGAAAACAGGGGAAAACAGGTGTAATTCAAAGCAACATTGCAAGAAGCAGGTGCAATAAAAGCAAAGTACGCAGAGACCAAAATGGTTCTGCAGCAAAAGCCAACCCAAAAGGGAAGTCCCCTCCAAGTTCTTTATTCATTCTCCTAAACAAGATGAAAAGTGAAATCAAAAGAAAGAAAAGAAGAAAAAATTCAAAATCATGGTAGTATTGGGTCTCCAATCCCTAGCTGCGTCTTTTCCAACATAGGGTCCCACTCCCTAGTTGATGCCGGCATAATCCGATGACTTTTCCAACATAGGGTCCCACTCCCTAGTTGATGCCGGCATAACCCGATGACTTTTTCAACATAGGGTCCCACTCCCTAGTTGATTAACCCGTGTTGCCCCGAATAGAACAGAGAACGACAATAAAACAATAAAAGAGAAGAAAGACGGATATTATAGATATCTCCACACGTGGTTAAGCCATACAAACCTTCTTTTCTTATACACTTCACAATCGTATTCTACTCAAAAATCCGTAAACAAAATCTCTCTCTTCTCTACAAATCATTTTTTGAACAACGAAATCCATAACATAAAAGGGGGTTAAATGCTAAAAAAACCGATTCTAATTCTATATATTCTTTCTTATTTTTATGCCTTTATCTCAGCGAAAAGATCAAATGTCGAATCCATTTATTTTTCTGGTATTCAAGCAGGTTTGGAATATGTATTATCATAATAATGGTAGAAATGGAATCATTTTTGTTTTGATATTCTATACAAAATCCTATAACTTAATTAATAAGTCTNATGACTTTTCCAACATAGGGTCCCACTCCCTAGTTGATGCCGTCATAACCCGATGACTTTTCCAATATAGGGTCCCACTCCCTAGTTGATGCCGGCATAAGCCGATGACTTTTCCAACATAGGGTCCCACTTCCTAGTTGATGCCGGCATAACCCGATGACTTTTCCAACATAGGGTCCCACTCCCTAGTTGAAGCCGCCATAACTCGATGACTTTTCCAACATAGGGTCCCACTCCCTAGTTGATGTCGGTATAACCCGATGACTTTTCCAACATAGGGTCCCACTCCCTAGTTGATGTCGGCATAACCCAATGACTTTTCCAACATAGAGTCCCACTCCCTGGTTGATGCCGGCATAACCCGATGATTTTCCAACAGGGTCCCCACTCCCTAGTTGATGCCGGCGTAACGCGATGATTTTCCAACAGGGTCTCCACCCCTAGTTGATGCCAGTATAACCTGATGCCAGCATAACCAGATGCCAACATAGGGTCACCATCTCCCTAGTTGATGATTTTCCAACAATAGGGTCCCTAATCCTTAGTTAATTGCATTTTATATATAGAGTCCCCACTCCTTAATCTCTTTTTTTCAAGGATACACAATCCTGATTTTAT